GGACGCAGCGCGACATGTTAAATCTTTTTAACGGTGATTGTCACATGCACAACAAGAAAATCTGTTTGAGCATTTCTCGCAGTTTTGGGGGCAATCTGGGAAAAAAAAAAGAAAAAATCAATCGAGGTCTATAGCCTTTTATAACTATGATATAACTATTTCTATAGCAATGATGTACATTTCAATATCGCTAGGACCTGGGACCACGAGATAGGACACTTGATGGAATGAATGAGCCACACAAAAAAATTAAGCGACTTCATGACGAACAGTCAACGAAAAAAATTGTGGGACGTTTTATGACGCAGTCACTAGGCTTATCGCTTAAAGGTGCATTTGAATAGATGTTCAATACTGCTTGTTTCCAGTTACATTATAGCTTGTGTTGATCATTTTCAGTGGTTATTTCAGGTTAATCTCGTTGTTCTACGCATGTTTCTTTGACGTTCCGAAGACCAGGGGGACATTGCCTTCAGCAGGCGTATGTGCCCTGACAAGACCACGGTCACGTGAATCTGATCAGTACGAATTTCTTGCACTTCGTTGGGAAGCATGTTGAGGCTAAAATAAAGTTGATAAAAAGGAATTCATCAGTCATTTCCCGTAATCTATTGCAAATGACCTGCAGCGAGCTCAACCGCGATCTCTACTCCTGCTCAAATTGGTAGGAAGAGGAGAAGCCCCGGAAAAGAGTTTTTAATAAGCTCTCGTCCCTGAAAAATTTATCCATATTTTTGCTTTCCTCGACAATCTTTTCTATTTCTCCATCTTCACATTTTTATTCCTTACTGCTTTACTCTGTATCTATAGAACTGCAATAGGTAACGAGTGATATTATGTAGAAAACCAAGAGATTAAACTAACACAATACCTTGGACAGATGTTTCTACTTAGATGCCCGCGTCTGGTGAACACAAATAAACCAAAGAGCTCAAATATCAATTGTCTCGTAATTCTGTAGGGAATGACCCTATTAAAACTAAAATTCATACGTTTGCAGATTGAGCAACATCACATGCCCAACGCGTGCTGATAGACACTGTGGAAATCATGAGCATCAGGAAGATGTCGCGATAAAGACGGATTTCCGCTCATTTAGAGCTGCGTCAGTGATTTGACTTATCGCACTTTTTCACAATTCCTTCCCCAGTCCTATCATCGTCCTTTCCACCTACGGGATCGCACGATTTCCAGAGAAATTTATAAGATACACCCACTCTAGCCTTTTCTGTCTCTGTTCGAACTCATAATCACCACACAAACTAGTATGGTAAACATCTTCGCCATCCTCCCTCAAAGAGAAAAACACGCAAGTTTGGCATCACCTGAGAGAGGGGAGGGAGGGGGGACTAAGATTATTGTAGCGGTACTGTACTCCGTTCTTCAACATGCATGGTCGCGCGTTATCTTATAGCCTACGTGTAGCCGTATCCTGCCCCCTATGGTGAAACGGAAGCGAGGAAACATAGACGTTTCCTCGCCTCCGTTTTACCATGAGAATTGGGGGGAGGGTACGGCTACACGAAGGCTAGTTACCTTTAAGACTGAAGGCTGCTTCAAAGACGAGCTTATATAGTGTTCTTTGTTTATCTGGTGTTATCTTGCCTATCTTTTTACTTATTCATTTGAAGTGTGGACTTTCGCCAACTAATTAACAGGAAGATGATTGACTGAAATTGTAAGTATTCGACCAACGTCATGAATCACAGAGTGATTCCGGCTTTTCTTCGAGTGCCCTTTTTTCGCTGGTGTATTTTGCTTTGAATAAATTTTTAGTCCGGAGAGGGGAAACGAATAGATAAAGTACTAGGTGCTTGTGTAAGTCTCAGCGACTGAACAAATTACTCTCTAACGTGCGAGCAAACGCTCTTATTTTCTTTGTCCCACATGTATATTTCCTGTAGAACAAAGGTCAAATAGACACTGGGTGCACGTAAAAGCCAGTTATTTTCCTTAAACCAAATCTTCTCCGTTGCGTTTCTCACCGATAAATTGTTTCCCCGTTGTGTTGGAGTACTAAGATCAGTTTTATCGTAACTGCTTAAAATAATTTAGTGGTTGAGAGCAGATAACGCTCTCGCCTGTCTTACCTCTTTGCTCATTACGTTTTTAAGAGTATTATTAATTTGTTTCAAGCAGCTGTTAAGGAAGTTAGAATTATTGGTGCTCTATTGTGCAAGCGAAGTGCAAGGAATCTGATCGATTGCTGATGTACTCGTGTCACGAAGCAAATAGACATTGAATCCAGTTCATTCCTTTTGAAGATTGTGTTGTTATAATAGTGCACAGAAAAGGAACGGGGGCTGGTAACTTGGCTTGTTACCTAATGGTTTTTCGTTCAATACAACCTTTGGCCTCTTCCGTGTTCTTTGGATCCTAAAAATGACTTCATCAACAACAACAATAGGTATCAAGAATGACAGGAAAATCTTCATGGTGCAATCTGTGATGAGTTCTCCTTGTTTCAGCCGGGTGCAGCACTATGAAAACCTGCTCGACAGGCCACCACGTATTTCATGTGAAGAGAATACAGTACTCGATACGTGAGTTCAAAATTCGATACTTTAGCTGAATATCCAGTTTAGCATTTTATCGCATGATCATACCCACTCTCACTTAATCCAAGTGCAGTTGACCTTGTAAACTTGCTTGCTTTCGCTCCACGCCCCCTCTTACACATAAAAAGATTAACGGGCTATCCAAAACAACAGGAAAAACAGATTATTGCACAGAATATCATTTATTGAGTGCATTGCATTAAATTTAAAACACGTGTGTCATATGGCTTTTGGCTTACTGGCTTTCTTTTTTCTGAATAAGATCATTGCCATTCCATTTGTAATACATGTCGTGAAGCAGAAAGGAACGACGACAGCTGCTTACTTTTGCACTTAAATTTCCATAAATTTGTCCGCAGAAATGGATTTATTATCTTCCATGTTTGCAGCAGACGGTGGCTTCAAACCAAAGCCAACGCGTTTGTCGTTTCTCTTGCATTGGCGGATTTCTTTGTTGGGCTGAGTGTTGTTCCCTCGACATTCGTGTGAAAGACGGTAAATGACTTTCATCTGCTTGAACAAGGAACAATTTTTAAGGCGTTCGTTCCTTTACTCTTCTTCTGTGAACTTGTGCAACGTAGTCCTGAATCGCTACATGGCTGTCGCGAAACCGTTTAATACTTGACTGTGATGAAAAGATGCCGCGTCGTTCAAATGATTTGTCTCTCTCGTGTCTTACCCGTCGTTTTTGTTGTGGCAGTAACAACGGTATGGTTTATTTATAATTTGTCACTTACCTGTGTCATTTTCTTTTCACAAACTGTTATTTTATTTAAGCTTTACCCATGTTTTCTCTTAACCTTCTGCTATATATCGATGTTAGGTGTTTTTTATAAACATAACCAAGCTGCCCCAAAATTAGTAAATCAACCACACTTTAACCATCGTTGTTCCGTTAAGATACCAGAAAAAGTCTGCTTTAAAGTTAATGACAACTGTTATATAGGAGTGTTTCTCCCGTGTTTCGGATTTTCTTTACGATGTAACCATGGTTTGATTGTTGAAAATGAGGCACTTCTTTCTGTTCTTCCGTATAAACAAAATGGTTTCGTTTTAAAGTCTACCTTTAACCCTGTCGCTTACACTTTCTTAAACCTTTTTAACTCCCATGAGTGACCGAGACAAAATTTCTGGTTATACTAAATCAATACAATATCAAACAGACAGGTGATGAAAATAAAAGAAAAATATCAGCTAGGGGATAATTAGTTGATTCAATACCAAATTCTCAGAACTAACATCATAAGAATTGTATGGCGGACAATAACGAGAATTACTAATGATATCTTGGGAATTAAGGGAGTTCTTCGATATAGAGAGAAACTCAGTTTTATAAGGGCCCCATCCACACTAGCGTGTTTACCTGACGTTAGATGACATATACTTTTTGCTTTGTATTTTGCCTATCATCCCCACTTAAACATCCTAAAACGCAGATTCAAAAGTAAATTTTGAAAAAGGTTTCGGAGGTGGAGTGTTTTGAAAATGCACCACTTTTGAAACGTTTCGTTTCCTGTGTGGACAGTTGGAGAAGGAGGCTTTGATTGATTTTAAGGAGAAGATTGGTGAAAATGCATGAAAACGCGGGAGTTTTCAAATAAAAATGCAGAATAGAAGGCAGGTGAGAACAAATAGATTTCACTTCATATCGAAGAATGTAGCGGGTGATTTACTAGCTGTCAGATATTTTTGATTGTGGAAAGGCAAAAATAGAACTTTCGCTATCTATAAAATAAAAGTAGGACAGTATGGCTCGCGCTAAAAATAGATCATATGGTATTTTTTGAAAGTTAAACCAGAATGAAGAATTGCGGCTGAGTAAATTGATTTTTGAGACTTTTGAGCATTCAGCGAAAATACTATGAAATTACACTTATTTAGACGAGAAGCAAGGTTATAGTACCAACTACAAAGATATAGAAACAACCGAAATCCGAAAATATCGGGCGCCTTTGTTCGCTAGGCATTGACGTTTTGTTATGGAATTGACTTTTTTTTAGCGATGTTTTCATTCAAATCGAGATCAGTTAACGTTAGCATCACTTCATCACTACTGCTTACAATTTTTATTTCTGACGGCGTTTTTGCAAGATGTCTGCATATTATTACGTTTTATTATAAGACAACAAAAGGAGACCTGACAACGTGCTCAAGTTGTCAGATATTGGTTGTCAAAATCCTTATTTAGCTATCTTTAATAATTAGTTTCTTACTGCTTATGGAAAAGGTTCATATCACCACGGACATCGTGCGATTTTCATCAATTAGAATAGAAGGGTACTAGAATGAGTCTCCCGTGGGTGCCTCTCTTGTGATCAGTTACCTTCCTTTAATTCATTGACTTCATAGGAGGATAAGAGGCTGTTAACTTAACTGTAAGTGCGGCCGGATTTCAGGCTGATTTGTCAACTGCGATGTGTTTGAGGGAGACGACATCATAAAATCACCGAAGTGTTTTCAAATGTTTTGTGGTTGCATATGGAATTGTAGTCTTAGTTCCAAACCCAAACCGTTATGCTCTCAGCTTTCATTTGTATAGAGCTGGCCAGCTGAAGACCACAAAATGGAAACGTGGTTTTGGATTCTTGGCTGGTCTCTTTCCATCCTGACCTTGACTGGAAATGGCTTTATTATTTTCCTTATTTGCAAAACCAATGCGTTTGTCGTTTTTCTCGCAGTGGCGGACTTCTGTGCCGGCTGGAGTGCTTTTCCGCCGCTTTTCGTCTGCGAGGAGATAATTGGATGCGACCCTACGGCCTTCATAGCCAACGGGGTGGATTATTTCAGGTGGCTGTTTATGTATGCGTCTGTGACAAACTTGTACAATTTAGTCCTGGATCGCTACATTGCTATTGTGAGGCCGTTAAGTTACTTGACTCTTATGACACGCAGAAGCGTTTTTCAGATGATTTTCATGTCTTGGACCATTCCAGTTGTCGTTCTCTTGGCGTTTTTACTAAATTGGCTTGTTTTAGAAGAGATTGTATTGTTTAAAGTGCTCATCTCAATTTTAATGGTATTTTTAGAAATCTTGCCGTCTTGTGTGTTAATGTTCTGCTTTGGATCAATGTATTATATTGTTTATAAGCACGAAAGAGCCGCCCGCATCTTAGCAAACCAACTCCGCTTTAACCAAAGATTTTTGTTCAGAATCAAGGAAAAGGCTGCCGTGAAAATAATGGCAATTGTTATTGGTATATTCCTTTTAGCCTTCTCATTCGCTATACGATGTAGCTTCATACACATTTTGAAAGACGGAAAACCGTGTGATGATAAAGAATATAAAATTCCCCTTCTTGTATTAAACTCCGTTATTAACCCCTTCGCTTATGCCGTCTTCAAGAGAGACATAAACATGGAGATAAAACGGTATATTTGCTGCGTCATTTGTAAAAAGAAACATCACAGTGATCCAATTTATGAAAACAATATTTTTTATCTTGCGCAACTACAACGCCAGAGCAGTATAACTTGAATAAACTCTTACTCAACCAGAATTTGTCTTGAACTTTTAATGTTTGTTTCACGATCGAGTTAACAGCCTATAACCTAAATATGAAATTATAATTAATAATTTGCTTATGGTGTGTGCATGATGACAAGAGTAGATCATAACAATAACAAAG